CGTCAGGCCGTGCGTTTAATCAAATCAAACCTAAGATTAGCGTACTGCCATCGCTCGCAACGAAGATAACCTAGCTACTCCCCCATCTACGCGACACGACGCCGCTGTCTCCCCACGCTGCACGAGCAGTCGTTCCCTCGTCAGATACCACCAACGCCACCACGCGCCCCGTGCGCACGCTGCTGCTAGCTCCAGTGTTCGTGGTGGGGTCCGTCCCGTCGTCCGATGCACGCAAGGGCTAAACGCTACTGCATGGCTCTACTCCTACTGCACCTCGACGTGCTAGCATTGCTAGGATCAGTAGCTCGTGTCCTCCAATATGTCTTGCTCGTCTTGGCTAAGCTACGTCCTTTTCACAATAAGTTCTTATTTATTCCATTTTATAAACAATTTTAAAATATTTTTAAATAATTGTTAAACTGGAGTTCGTGAAAGTACATGATAAATATATTAAGAGTAGATAAAGTGAAAATAAATATATTTGAGATCTGACATAGTAAGAATATTTTAATCCTTTTTAGTTTTTTTTAATTTTTTTAGTCCGTAATATTAGTAAGAAATGAATTTATTTTGAGACCTCGCAGTATGGCAAGGCGCCATGACCGTCCGCCCCCCTTTTTACGGCTGATGACCTGATGTAGCGTGTACAGATAATAAACTCTAGTACTCCTACCACTGGCTACTGCTCATCTATTGCTCCAGTACGCAGCTATGCTAGCGCCGTAGTGTACCCAGCAGTTACTACCACTCCACTCCTACCGTTGATTTGGTCTGTGCTTCCGTCACACTCACATGGTCGTGTAGTGGCTCAGCGGCATTGAGCAGCGAAAGGTGCACCGTGGACGGTGCCGGCCTTGAGGCGCCGTGCGCAGGCAGCCGTCCGGAACATCTGAACATACGTGTGGTCGAACGGTGCGCGGTAGAATTGATTTGAGGTGACGCGAGTTGTGGGTTGAGGAGCAAGCGGCCGACCGTCGAGTTTAAATAAATAATAATTTATAAATTTTCGTGTCACGACCCGGCTTGTCGTATCTAAATATATAAATAAATGTATCCGCTAATCAAACCGACGGATTACGCATTATTTTTATCTATAAACGGGTTCGCGGGTAAACCTACTTGCACCCTTATATGTGGGTGAAACGGAGAACGGGCGTACTCCAACCCCGTGCCGTTGATCGTGTTAACTTGATTGATCAACGGCCAATCACTTGATTGATCAATGACCAATCTGTCAACGCCATATAGTAGTGTAGTACTAAAAGCAACCGAGTCCTACTCCAATATCAGCAATTTCCGTGGAAAAAAAAAACTTAGTCCTACTCTCTCCGTTTTAAAATAAGTGCAGTTTTGTACTATTCATGTCTCATGTTTTACCGTTCGTCTTATTTGTAATTTTTTTACGATTAATATTTTTATTATTATTAGATGATAAAACATGAATAATAGACTAAGGGTGTGTTTAGTTCACGCCAAAATTGAAAGTTTGGTTGAAATTAAAACGATATGACGGAAAAGTTAGAAGTTTGTGTGTATAGGAAAGTTTTGATGTGATGAAAAAGTTGGAAGTTTGAAGAAAAAGTTTGGAACTAAACTGGGCCTAAGCCTAACTTATTTTAATTTTCTTATAAATTTTTTAAATAAGACGGACAGTCAAACGTTGGACACGGATTCTCATGGCTGTACTTATTTTAAGACGGAGATAGTATTATAATACTTGTCTCTCTGGAATTTAAAAATTGTCCTAAAACAATTGTCACTTGGAAATACTTATTGTCACATCAACCACTTCCAATTCAAATTTCTCCCAATCATACCCCTAAACCATCATGCCACATCTACCTATATAATATTTTATTAAGGGTATTATAGTATTTTTCTTTTAACCTTAGACCTATAATGACAAAAATATTCTGGGACAAAGGTTGTAATCAATTTTATTACGATACACTAGTACGGATGTGTCAATTTATGGTCGATGTGGGCAGCGACGAGGACGCGACACCGGCCATCCATCATCCATGCAGATGCAGATGCAGATGCAGGCATGCGCCGGGCGGTCAAAAAGGACGGGGGCGGCCGGTCGACGCGGCGCCACCTTTTCCGCGCCAACATCTCCGCGACCACGTGTGCCACGGCCCGTCCTGCCCCCATCACAGCGACACCCGCATCGCTGCCCCCCCCCCCCCCCCACGTGAGGCCCCCACCATGACGTTCCTCGTCTCACTGACACGCCGGGCCCACCCCGCGGTGTGCCCTCCTTCACCCCTCGCATCCTTATCCTGTGCCTATTCGACACGTCACACGTGTGCGGCGCCTAAATGACGCAACAGTACAGTGGCTAGCTATCAGCACTGTAGCATTCTGCTTTCATCGATCTCCTGCTATGTGAGTAGTAATAGAGTGGTACTAGTAGTAGGTCACAATTCACAAGCCATACATATGAGTATATTGTACAATAATAGACCCTGTTTAAATCCTTCAAAATAGCAAAAGTTTTATCATTTTAAAGTATTTTTTGTTATGTTGAATCTAAACATTAATAGTAAAAGTTGGCAATTTGTCATTTGCCATTTGCTAATTTATAGTAGCAAATTGTGTCAAAAAGTGCTTTGGGACCACTCTCTCTTTAAAAAAAATGATAAAATGATAAAAGTTTAAGCATCTTAAATACCATACTTTTGCCATTCCAAAAGTATCTATAGATGCCCATGGATGCACGCAGCTGGGAGCTGTAGATGCTATCGATCCCCCTGCGATCTCGATCCGATTCCTCCTCTAATTTTTCACCTGTCATGAAGTCCGATTACTGTTCCCTTTAATTTCCCTCCGCTTCCGCTGCTGCTGCTGCTGCATGGGCGTTCGCTTTCGTCCGTCGACGCCTGCGACAAGCAAAAAAAGCTCAGCGCGGAATACGGCGGGAGCGGCTCTCTCTCTCTCTTTCGGATGCCTTGCTGAAGGCGGGCGAGGACGGCCACGGCCAGCGTACGAACCACGCAGCCGTCTCTGCGGGCTGTGCTGGGTACAGTGCGCACTCGCGCATGCAGGCGCGCAGAGGCATATGCATGCGGTAACATGACATCACGGCCGCGGGCCGGGGTCACGTGAGTAGCCGAACGAGGACGTTTGGGCCGGCCGCACGGCGCTCGTTTTTTTCCCCTGCGGGTGTCAGGACGGGCGGCAGGCAGGCAAAGGCAGCGAGCCGTATACGGCATGGGGAAATTATGGCACACGGCCGGCCGCTGCCTGCCGGGCGGGTCCGGGGGGGTCGCGGCGCGTGGCAGTGCACGGCGCGGGCAGCGGCAAGCGGGCAGGGGTACTGGTACTACTGGTACGTGCGTGCGTGCGTGCGTGGGGCGTCACCGGAAAAGACAAGACGGAGGCGATGCCGTACCGTACATGGTAGGCGCGCGGTAGGCACTATACGGAGTAAAGGTGCCGTGGCGGCCGTGCGAGGCGGTTTATTTGAATGCTGTGCGGCGACAGTACGGGTACAAGGCTTGAAAAAAGCGGTGCTAACATTGATTAGGCCAGGCGTCCTGTGAATCTGGGTTATTAGTTCGGTGAAGCCGTAATGTTTGCTCTGCACGTTCCATTCGTTAAATCTTTTGCTTTTTTTTTGGCATGATTAAATCTTTCAGTTGTCTGTGCAATTTATAACTGTCTACTAGCACCGCAACATTATCTTCATTTGAAAAGGCGAGGGTAAAATAAAATGCTGCACTGACAGGGAGCATCACAAAGAAATGCATGGAATAATAAAGAGGCCGGCCGGCCGGCCGGCCGGGCTGGAGCAGTACTACCGGTCTAGCCGGTCCATCCAAAACAGCATGGGCATGGCTACCCTATACAGTACACACGCACGCACTGTGCCAACGCCTTTGGCCTTTCATCAATGGTACGCCTCTTCCCAAGGCAGGGGTCGTCGCCGCTCGCTGCGCTGCACCATCAGCGCTCGACAGGTCCTCCCGCTGTCCCACCCAGCAGAAGGCAGTCAAGCCTCGCGCGTTCCCAAGGCCCCCCCCTTCTCTCCCTTCCCTTCCTCCCGCTGCTGCTGCTCCTGCCGCGGCAGCCTAGCTAGCTGCGGCCATGCCATGCCCGTCTCTTCCCCAAAGTATTTTTTCCCACATTCAATTCCCCACGAGATTTGGACGGGTCGAGCCGATCCATCGTCGGGTAGGCGCGAGATAGCTACTGCTGCCCGCGGCGCTGCGAATCTACTCCGGACGAGGAGTAATTTGGAGCGTGACAAGCGGCTGGCTACCCACCCACCGAACGGCGTGCGCGCGGACAACGCCGTGCCGGATAGGCCACCCACCCACCGGGGCGCGCCGCGGCGACTGCTACTGTTGAGCGGCGCCGCGCCGCACGCGTCGGCAAACCGCGGTGCTGCCTGCCTGCCTGCCCCCCGCGCCACGACACGGCTCCTGGACCTCCTCGCCCACGTGAACCCGACCCCGGGGGCCGAATCGTGCCACGGCACGTCGCCCCCCCTACGCCGAAACGCCAACCCCACACGTTACCTCCGCCGCGGTTGCTTTCCTTCTTCCCTTCCTTCCATCCGCCTGCTGCCGCTGGCACGTCGGGACGTAGGAGGAGTACTAGTAAACGTACGTACGCACTCGTCACGGGCCCGGTCACGTCCCCTGGGCCGTACTGTATCTCGCTTTCACCCTTGGTAGGCTAGTCCGCCGCGTCAACACGACGTAACGGACAGGGGAGAGGTATGGAGGAGGTGGAGGGCCCGTGCGGTCAGTGTGCAGGGGGGGTAGGGCGTGCAGGACGGATAGGGCGTTGGGGGTGGTGGTAGGGCTGGCGTCACGGCGATTAGACCATTCGGGGCGTCAAATCGCGCGGCGGCTGGGGCTTGATGGCCGAGGCCGAGACGGACACCGCGCCGCGCTGGTCAGCGACAGCCTCAAACCCCCCAAAACGCAGCAGGCCCCAGAGCGGCAGACACCTACTCCTACTAGTACTAGTACTACCACCATCTCCCCATTTCACGAGGCGCGCGCAAACGCAAAGCCGACGCGAGAGCGAGCGGCCACCGCGCGCTAGTAGTAGTAGCGAGCCACTATAGATTTGGCTCCCGTATAAAGGGTCGCTGAGACTTGCTTGTCGCTGGCAGTGGCAGCTGCCGATCCGTCCGTCAAGGCACAGCGCAAGCACAGGCTCTCGCTCGTGGAGGCGAATGGAGCTGGACATGGGAGCGGGAGGAGGCGGTGGAGTAGTGGGAGGTGGGCGAGCGGAGGCGCACTACCGCGGGGTGAGGAAGCGGCCGTGGGGCCGGTACGCGGCGGAGATCCGGGACCCGTGGAAGAAGACGCGGGTGTGGCTCGGCACCTACGACACGCCCGTCGAGGCCGCGCTCGCCTACGACCGCGCCGCCGTCGCGCTCCGCGGCGTCAAGGCGCGGACCAACTTCGGCAGCGGCAGCAGCGGTGGTGGTGGCGTCGGCGGGCACGGCCATGGCCACAGCCACGCCCAGCTGCCGCAGCTTCACCACCGCATGCACCCGCCGCGGCCGCCGCAGGGCCCTGGTCACTTCGGCGGGCTCGACATCAGCCACCCTTCGCCGTGGCACTATGTCTACTTCCCGGCGAGGGTGCAGGCGATGGCGCCGGCGGCGGCTGGCCATGTCGCGGCGCACGTCGCCGCGTCGCTGCCGTCGACGACGCTGGAGCTCCGGACGGGGCCGAGCGCCGGCGAGCTCCCGTTCGACCTCAACGAGCCGCCGCCGGCGCTGCTGTTCGGCTCGTGATCTCGACACGTACGTGAGTAGAGCATCACTGGGTAGTACTAGGACCAAGGATCAAGCTTAGAGATCACTAGTAGATAGGGGTAACCGATTAATGTGGGAGTGGAGAGCACTGGTCCGGCTGTGTACATACGTACTACTATTTAAGGAAAGTTTAGCGTTCTCACATTGCCCCTGTTCTTGTTTCCATTTTAAGAACTTTTTAGCGTACAGCTTTTCATCTCTTCTGTAGTATAAGACGGTTTTCTCACTCGAGGTTAGTACTATTACTGACCTGAGAACTTGCATGGTGATGGTGGTTGTGGGGCGAGTGAGCGGTTGGTTCGGAACATTTGGTTGGTCAAAAGCTAGTACTACAAAATTTTAATTCATGTAAAATACTAGTACTGGTATTATAAGAAAGATTTCAGTTATACATATTGATCAGTAAATCAAATATACTTAACGCTCTAAACTACTAGTGCTATCAATGCAAGCCCCGTTAGTGAAAATTAACAGTATCAATGGGGTTTCAAAAAATTAACAGTATCAATTGATATCAATGCAGCCTTAATTTACTTAACTGTTTAAACTCTAAACTAGGGTTTGTAAAAAGACATTCAACTCGAGATGAATGGCACACCCGGCGTCCCGAGCTCCCGGCCTCACTGACTTGACCATCTGCTTAAAAGTCCCATCACAAAATGGCTCGCGAGTCCACCCTGTCTCGATTGTCGTTTCCTGTAGTATTACTAGTACACACGTTCGATTATGCTTCTGTAGTTATGCGCACAGCTTATTAACTACTCCATGTGTCCTTAGATTTTAAATTAGATATTGTAAAATAACTTATGATAAAAAATCTATAAAATCAACTCTAAAATAAAGTTTTAAATTTTATAATTTTATTTATAAACAAAAACATAAAACAAACAATGCGTCCGCTACAGACTGTGCCCAACATTTGATCCATTTAGATAACTATGGTTTTAATCACCTATCAACAGACGTGGCTAATGTCTCCTTGCCAGGAAACCAAAGTCGAATCTTACCGATAATAAAGTGACAAGTTGCCCGTCCAACTTGCTTACAGGGGAAAATTCATAGGCCTTTTCATCTATATGAAAAACATAAGAAATTCAATGGATCTCAATACTATGAAAATTATATTTGTTTTATTTTTTCCGTTTTCTCAAATCCTGCATTTTATATAAACCTGCGATGCAGATATCATAATCAGCCAATTCCAAGGGTAATCTGTAAAAATATCCAGTTCACGTGCTTTTCTACATCCACCCTTTGGAACATCTCGTATTATGCTTTACTCGGAGTATTATGCTTTATTCCCTTCATTCCAAATTGATCTACATATAGTTTTTTTTGAGGTTATTACTAAATGATCTACATATTTATGTTCATTTATTAAGTATATTCGTTATTTGTGTATTGGAGTAAATAGACATTAGCCCACATATAATATCTTGATTTGCTGTTGGCTAGGAAATATTAGAGATGGTGTATGCATTAAATCTATGGCTAGAGTAGATATAGTATAAGAGAGTTATTAGCTTTTTTTTTTTGTCTTGGTGTACCTATAAAATATGTAGATCAATTTGGAATAAAGGGAGTAGTTCTCAACCTGTTTGTCTACACAATCTTTCTTATCATTTGGTCCACGTGAACGCGGGGTACCAGATTTGTAACGCAGGAGTACGTAGTATTACAAATAAACGACAGGCCTTACTGAATTAGGTTGTGTTCAGCTGGGGCATGTGATCACATACCTTACGTTAACAAATGTCCTTTGGTCTCGTTCATCACTATACACGCACAATTCTAAATCAATTTGTTCTACAAAAGCTTGATACCGAAGGAACCTCGGTTCCATGCTGGCACCACGCAGACAACAGATTACATCTAACTCAAACTTCCGTAGCACAAACACTAAACTACCTTCATGCTCTCCGCAAAGCTTCCGGGATTGATGGTTATACTCTTGGTGCAATTATCCGTCTTGTAGATGCCAACCAGCCTATCAGCTAGTTCAAACATGTTGTTTCTGAGACTGCAGACAGGGCGACAAACGTGAGATTGGGGAAATTTCACCCTGCCTCTTAGCACGTATAAATATTTCGGTTTTAACTTTAGTAGCATTACTTTTGTAGATGAACAACTAAGTCTCTTGTATGGATGAATGTTTGGCAAACATATATCTTCGACAGATCTTTGCTCAGTATTTCTCATAAAATTATTTTCAGCTGGAGTATAAGTGGGGCGTGGCACATGCGGGTAGAAAAATTAGGAAAACTAAGCTGCCATAAGCATACCTGATAATAATGAACTGAGCATCTTTGGTCCGGTCTTTCACGTAATGTCCAACGATGGAGACATTCTTAAAGTCTGCGAGCAGCAATGTCATTAATGTATTGAAGTGTTAATATATGTTAAACGCCAAGAGGACGGCCACTAAACTTACCCAACGCAGCATCTATCTCATCCATAACATATAAAGGAGTTGGTTTATAATGGTGAAGAGCAAACACCAGAGCTAGTGAGCTAAGCGTCTGCAAGATAAAAAGCTTAGTTCAGTAACAATCTACTAAAAAAGTGATATTAGATGAGATAACACATGCACAGAACATAATGCCAACAAGAAATGTAAAACTCATATTACTGTTGAATAAGGAAACAAGGTATGGAGTAGAAAACAAGTTCTCGTAACGATATTGAAAACCATCTTTGTCAGTAAAATAAGGCCATATTAACTAACATCCTTGCACAAAAAAAATAATAATAATTGCAAAAATACCTTTTCGCCACCAGATAAATTGGCAATGTTTTTCCAGCTTTTCTTGGGAGGTCTAACACTGAAAACAACACCTTCTGAAAACGGGTCCAAGGAATCAACAAGTTCCAGCTCAGCATCACCTCCAAGCGTAATCATCTAAAAACAAAAAGGAATTGCTGTTGAAATCATGTTGTTTAGTAATAGAGGTTGAGTGGTAAAAGTATTTCAGATTTTCAGTTAATTGGGTAAGCCTGCTCTTATCTCAACTAACTCTTTAACTTTTTTTGGCTTCCTAGACTTCATTTCTTACAAAGTGTGGTCAGACTTCAAATTGTAAAACAATGGAAGCACCATATTACATGCTTTGATATATGTATTCATTATTTCAAAGTACCTGGTACATCTCCTTCAGTTTCAAAGATATTATGTTGAATCCTGCCATGAACTCATCTAACCTGAAATAATGCATATTTGCATGTGAGGCAAATAGAGCAACATGGATAGAAATTCAAAGAAAGGAATACCTTCTCTTCCTCAATGCATCGTATTGCTTTTTAAGATCATCACGCTCCTGAGTGGTGGCATTTAGCTCATCAACGCGTTCACCATATACACGAGCCTTTGTGCGGTACCTGATCCAGCCAATGTAAGCCAGTAAGGAAATTGGTGGTGCCAAAATGCTACTGACATGTATAGATCATTAATTCATACTCTGCTATTGAATCCAGGTTAGGACTCAAGTCTTTAAGCAGGGCTTCCAACAGTGCCACCATCTCAACTGCTTTTCTCATGTCACACGCCTCATTGAATTGCTCGTCACTCAATGTTTCTTTCAGTTTCTCATGATCAATAGCATCCTTTTGAATTCTGAAAATAACAAGATGCACATTAGTCTGAGAAACAATACAGAAAACACGTAGCAGTATTGAAAATAGCATTTACACATACTGATCCATGTGTTTAACAAGATTTGTCTGAATGTCATCAAGCTTTTTCCTGAATGCCTTCACCTTCATTTCCCACTCCTTGGCAAGCTTTTTTGTATCTTGCAGTTTGTATTCCACATCGACCTGTACATACATACAAAATGTAAATATTGTCAAAAGGAACAATATCATAGTGACTTAACATAATAACTAAATATAAATATAATATACCTCACTGGATCTCAGTTCATCCATTGCTTTCTTTAATTTGTTGTATTCTACCTTTGTTTTGTCAAGCTCATCTTTATGGTTGTCCATCATCTGCAAAAAAACAGATTAACATTTTCCATTGAACAAATGAAAAAACAATCCAATCACTTTACAGCTTGTAAGGCAATACAACTAAACTACCTCTTGTGTTTTCTTATAATCTTCTTGAACAGTAAAAGCTGCCTTCTCAATCTCTTTGAAAATAGACATCATCTTCTCCTTTTCAGCAAGAAGCTTTTCCTTTTCTTTCCTAGACTCCTCGATGCCCTTGGTTAATTTTTTCACCAACTTCTCACATGTAGTAATTCTAACTTTGTGGCGGTTGATATCTGAGCTTGTTTTGTCAAGTTGCTGGCGGTTGACGCACAAAATCTTAGACATCAGATAACCAAAACGAAGAACAGAATCACACAAGCATTGAAGCTTATACTCACAGATTGGATGTTTGCAACTTTTAGCTTCTGATCCTTGAGCACTTGTCCCCCTGCGTTTTCAATTTTCTGCTGTAGTTCTGATGCCTAGTATAGAAAGCAAACTTAAGTCAAAGCTATGTAACAAATAATTTCAGTTAACAACTCAAAGCATAGAAAAATCAATATACGCAGGCACAGATTCAAACAGGAGACTGGGAGAGTGAGTTCTGAATGATGGAGCATTTGAAGTAATTTGTGAGTTGAAGCAGACGCTCACTAAGGCAGATTAGCTTATGAATTGGCATGCGATCAAAAAGCCTGTATAGCCACATACCTGATCTTTGAGCTTGCTGGAACATTTAGCAAGTCTATTTAGTTCAGCTTGCTCAGCAGATATGATATCATCCAGCTCTTCCATTCTGCGAACCTCGTCCGCTTTGGGATGTGATGCAGCTTTCAGAGAGTCAAGTCGCTTTTCATTGTAACTAAATTGTGCATTCATACTCTCAACCTATTTCAAGAGATGAATGGAAGCTGACCTCAAGGAGAAAATAGAATCTCACAGCAGAAAAAGTAGTTTACATACCTCCTTTTTAGCTTTTGCCAGTTCCATCTCAAAACGGGATTTGGCATCTTCCAGGGCCCGGTAACCTTTTTTAGCATCATTAATTTTTTCACGTAACCTGTTGAGTTGATCGACTAGCTTATTAAGATCATTTTCAGCATTTGCAACAGCCTCTTCTGAAATACTTTCCCGGATGGATGTGCCCATCTTGCCACCTCTTGGTTTGCTACCACCACCACTCATGGTACCAGACTTCTCAAAAAGTGCACCA